GGAATATCTTGAAGAGATCCGTCAGGGTGCAGCAGACTCGTGCCGGTTAACGGGGACGCCCTCGGGCTACTCGCCGTCTCGCTGCTCTCCGCCTTCACATGGTGTTGGTCCGCTCCGCTCGGCGACAGGGACCTCTTCATCGAGAGATTCTCCGCCATGTCCTCTTGGTGCTGTTGGCTCGTCGAGGATTGTTGCTGATGTTGCTGTTGTTGTTGTTGCTGTTGCGACTGTTGTTGACCACTGCTCAAATTCAGCCCATTAGCCGGTGGGCTCAGGCTCGGTGGCGCGTGGGGTCGGCTAAGGTCCTGCGGCACTAACTCGCCGGATCTTCTTCGGGGTCGAGCCTGTTTCCGTCGAGGTAACAACGGCGATCCGCAGGTCTCCCGCAGTTCACGCATACCGAAGTGCAAATGACCCATGTGCGGTAACCTGTCGCGATGGTCCCTCGCAGGGTGAAATATAGTGGTCGTCGTCACCGACGATGGTTCCCGCGTGGACGGCGGCGCCGTACTCTCCGACGCATTGTCGTCCTCTTCGGGGGTGCCTTGCCGGGCACCTTCGGGCGTCGACGGCGCCCCAAGGAGTAGGTCCGCAGTCGGTGTATCCGGCGGGGACGCCGGCCTCGGCTCCGACGACGCTAATCCACGCACTTGCAAACTCTCCGCTGCTCTCATCAGTCCTGGAAGCTCTTCGCGACCGACCCTCACCTCGCCACGGTACATGAAGTCGATCAACGCCGCTACCTCGTGGCCCGGAAAGTCCTTCAGCACGATCACCGGATGTTTGCAGGGATGCTCCGCAAATATCCTCTCGAAAAAGGGACTGTAACGCAAACGTTTCGATTTGAACATGGTTTGGTCATTATTTTTGGATGAATTCAGGGAATGTCTTAACACCTCCAATCCTGTGGTAATGATAGTTCGACTGCGACACGGCGGAGGCGCAAAAAATGTCCTCGAGCCTATGAAATACATATTTGGACGACCTTGACCTGGCATATTAAGTTCTTATCACCCCTAAATCTCATAATTTCGTATAGTTTTATGTTGAAGCCATTTTATGACTCAAAGATAGCCGTCTATATGAAACGTGCTTTACAACACAGTTGGGATTGAAGGTGTTAAGAGTCCTGTTCTCGGGTTTTAATTTATTACTTCGTATTTATACATTAATTTTATCATTATTACTTATTTGCTGTTATTATTAATCCTACTATGAAAGAGGATTATTTATAGATGATAGAAAGGTCATGTTTTGCACCTACAACTTTTCTGATTTAAATTATTCAGAATATGATTATTCAGGATTAATTGGCAATATAACGACAGTTTACTGTATTCAATGTTTTAAATTCAGGGTAATTGTTAAACTTGATTTTAATTGTATAATAATGGAGAGTTTCTTTTGTGAGAAATGTAATTTATGTAATTGTTGAAGTCGGTATACTTTAAACATTAAAAATAAAATAGAATAACGAAATTATCGTGTATTCTCGTATGCGTTTTAAAGCATCGTTTTCTGCTATCCTTGCTCGTTCTTTTATTTCTTATAAGACAATTACGCTTGATTTACTCGGCTATTTTCTAACACGCAAGCCGTGCTTAAAACGGGAACCAAGTATGCATAATTTTTATGATGCCTGAGGAAAGGAGTTTGAATACTATACAAACGAAACTTGTATATTCATAGAGTATATTAACAGCGAAACAACCAAATCTCATCAAGATAGAGTATATTGCATCTTCTTATTTTTGTTAACAGACAATTTCTTATCGCATTTAGTCATTCGTTTCACTAATTTTACTAGAATCTTTTATTAACTTCTACGTTTATTTCTATTTAGTTTATTTAATATCTTTTTATCTTTGAACAAGTTTTATAACAATGCGGACGTATAATTGATTTTAATTTAGCAGAACTAGCACAAAATATTTAAAAATATTAATGAAAAAAAATGAGTGAAAAAATAATAAAATTAAAATTAGTAAAAGTAATAGAAATATACCGAACACTAATAAAACTAGAATAGTCATTAAAAAATTATGTTCCAATAATTTTTAATGCGAAGAACGCTTTGAAAAACTCTCGTTAAAGATTGTTGCATACCTGGTGCATATAAAATTGTTGAATCATTATCAAAAACAAGAACGATAACGCATGTTGATTATTATATGTCAACACGTATGTGATATCAGTGTGTACAAACATGTTGATAATTCGAAAATTTTTATTGCATTTCTTAACCAATATGTACATCGCGTCGTTAATTAACACGACAATGATTTTTAAGATTATTTTGAGTTATCATCGTCAAAAAAAATCCAAGCTTCTTTTAACACATTCTACTAAAACTTTTGTGTACGTTTTACGTTCAATATACATATTTTGCATACTGATTTTATAATTTATATTTTTTTAATCATTTTACATATTTTTCTGGATTTCTTGAAAATTAAAAGAACTTTCCGTAACTTTTTTTTGTAACAAATATCTGATGTATTATTTCTTTTGCAAAATATAAGAAATGATTTTTAGTTTACGGATCTCTGAAAGAATTTTCATGAAAAAGAGTAATATAACCAGAGAACATAGTAAAACTCGTTAATAATTTGTTATTCTATTTTGAAAATTGCACCACAAAGAACGGCTATTTATGCACTTTTTAAGCAACGATTACCTGACATTTCAGACAAGATAGAACGTTTCTAGAAGTCGAAGGAATTGTAGCAAAGTAAAAAACAGTGATCGCGAATGTTCCTTGTTAAATCAAAGTACTCGATAAATCTTCTATGTTCTCAATCGATCGATCATGTTTCAAGAAGAGGTAGGTAAAAAGCATCAACCGCACGTCGACAGATCATCCCCATAATAGAGAGAGCCGATGGTAAACACGGACGTCAAAGAACAAAACACCATGATCGTCTAACAGCCAACATATCGACAAAAGGTTGTGATAATGGAGAATATATGGGGCAAATGAAGAAGCGGTATAAGCTTTCCGTTTGTTGCACACGGAACAGATGTAGAAAGTTGTGGATTGAAATTTTATCAAGTCATTTATCACCTATTCTCGCGTCATCGGGCGATATTGTTCTTCTATGGTTAATTAACTCGGTGGTAGAATGATTAGATACGATTTTTCACGTTTAAATGCTTCAAAAGCATTGTGAAGTATAAAAAGGTGATTATAAATTGTGCTGTAGCATGAAAATTGTAGGAAGGTTCTTTAGAAAGAAGAATATTAAACATTTTGAGGTGTAGAAGTTGAGAAAATGCGAAAGCTACTGAAAGATGGCGGGGGATTTAAAAAATACAAATTATTAATATAACCAAACTTTAGAAATAAGAAAAATGATTATATACATCAATTTATTTGTATTTTACTGGAGGGTAAAAATTGTGTTAAGGTTTTTTAAAGAGAGAAAGAATAAAACATTTCAAGATATAAGAATTGCAGAAATGCGATATCTATTGAAAGATGGCGGGAGATTTAAAAAATACAAATTATTAATATAACCAAACTTTAGAAATAAGAAAAATGATTATATACATCAATTTATTTGTATTTTACTGGAGGGTGAAAATTGTATTAAGGTTTTTTAAAGAGAAGAAGAATAAAACATTTCAAGATATAAGAATTGCAGAAATGCGATATCTATTGAAAAATGGCGGTAGATTTAAAAAATAAAAATTACTAATATTGTCATACTTCAGAAATAAGAAAAATGATTATATACATCAATTTATTTGTATTTTACTGGAGGGTAAAAATTGTGTTAAGGTTTTTTAAAGAGAAAAAGAATAAAACATTTCAAGATATAAGAATTGCAGAAATGCGATATCTATTGAAAAATGGCGGTAGATTTAAAAAATAAAAATTACTAATATTGTCATACTTCAGAAATAAGAAAAATGATTATATGTTAATCAATTTATTTTTCATTTTACTGTAATATGAAAATTGTAATAAGGTTCTCTATACTAAAAGAAAGTAAAACATTTAGGAGCACAGAATTTCAAAAGTATGAAATCTGCTGAAACATAGCGGGAAATTTAAAAAGTAAAAATGACTAATACAGTAAAGGTTGAGTCATTCAAGGTAGAACCGATTAAAAAATGATTTTATTTAACTACTGTAAAGTTAAAATACTGTAGAGTATAATAATAAGCACTGAGTATATTATCGGTTACGTGTGAAATACTGAGGACGAATTCTGATAAAAAGACTGGCAGAAAAGTTCATCAGTAAGCTGTCAATTTTTATTCCAGATTTTTGCACAGTAGAAATAAACTATAGTTCGACCATAAAATATTAGTTTAACACCTCAAATGGAGATTAGTATACGCATGTACTGATATTAACGTTCTTTGACTCCTCTAAAATCAAACTCTATTAAAAACAGTTCGTAGTGTTACAATTTTCAAAAAATAAAGCTTGTTACCATTAAAAACAAGTATAAACAGTATTTAAAATAAATAATAATCGCCCGCTTAATTCTTTCGTTTCCGATTTACTATAGTAATTGTATGATGATATAATGAAGAAAATAGTACCTGCAGGCACTAAGGACGACCTTGTGCGCCCTGAGGCTGGTTTCGGCGCAGACCAGGGTCACGTCGACGAGTATCTCCGCGTGTAACAACGCCTCGAAAGCCTGTAGTATGTGTGTCTGATGATTGTTCCATCGTAAGGAATAGTGCGACTGCAAAGCCATCCCATCAGGACTGTCCGCGGCGCTCGACATTTTTTCACCGCCGCACGTGCCGTTAGCGGAGCCACCTTGATGCTCCGCTTGCTTCTCCTTCGTACCACGAGCTCCTCCTCTCGTTTCTCTCTTCCATGCACGCACGCACGTGGCCACGCACGTATCCTGAACGATCTCTTCCCTTCGACACTATCTTGAACGGCACTGTTCTCCTGAAATATCCACAAAATGACATTCTATTAAATCTCTGTAAATCTATAGATCTCACAGAGGCAAATACAAAATGTGGGGTCAGTTCTGGTGACCGGACATTTAGAATATTATTTCTGGGGATTTTTGAAGTCTTTAGCAGAAAATTAGTAGGCTCCTTGTTTGCTTCATAGTATGGGTCAATACAAAGGTAGTAGATATTTGGTTTTCAAATTAAACTTTCAAGCTGATCCTTAAGGGTCAAGTCTAAAGACCGAATACTCCGAGTACGATTTTTGGGGCCTTTGGCAGAAAATTAGTGGACACTGGATCCTTGTTTCCTTCATAGTATATGGGTTAGTAGAGACAGAGATAGATATTTGGTTACCAAACGTTAACCTTAGGGGATCAAGTCTGAGGACCGAATACTCCGAGTATTATTTTTGAGGATTTTTGGGGCCTTTGGCAGAAAATTAGTGGACACTAGATCCTTGATTCCTTCATAGTATATGGGTTAGTAGAGACAGAGATAGATATTTGGTTACCAAACGTTAACCTTAGGGGGTCAAGTCTGGGGACCGAATACTCAGAGTATTATTTTTGAGGATTTTTGGAGCCTCTAGCGGAAAATTAGTAAGCTCCGGTTCCTTATGTGTTTCATGGTGCATCGGTCATAAGATGTAAGGATAGATATTTGGCATCTAAACGCTAACCTTGAAGGGTCAAGTCTGGGGACCGAATACTCAGAGTATTATTTTCAAGGATTTTTGAAGCCTTAAGCAGAAAAGTAGTAAGCTCCGGATCCTTATGTGTTTCATAGTGTATCGGTTATAAAATGCAAGGATAGATATTTGGCACCTAAACGCTAACCTTGAAGGGTCAAGTCTGGGGACCGAATACTCAGAGTATTATTTTCAAGGATTTTTGGAGCCTCTAGCAGAAAATTAGTAAGCTCCGGATCCTTGTATGTTTCATAGTGCATCGGTCATAAGATACAAGTATAGATATTTGGCACCTAAACGCTAACCTTGAAGGGTCAAGTTTGAGCACCAAATATTCCGAGTATGATTTCTGGGAATTTTTAGGACATCCGCTAGAAAATTAGGACTCTGGTAGATAAGCTTTGCAACCTTGTTTTACTTATGTTGCATTCATCATGAGGGATGAGTATAGAAGATATTTTCTGAACACTAACTCATAACACTAGATGTACCCGTTAAAATGGCGGATTTCTCTTATTCTCAATTACGAAAACTATTAACACTAAACTTACTGGCGTATAATAGAAATGTAACTTAAAAATAAACCGTAATTGTTTATTTCGATAAAAATCAATAGAGATTTCAATAAAATCTTAATCTTGTGATTTAGAAAAGAAAATTTTTAAACGGGTCAAATGACCGGTTTGGTTTAGTTAACCTGTTGTCAGAATGTGTACCTTTCATCGAGATAAAGAATCATTGTATAAGCTATTTTATGTATCCATTGTTTATTTTTTAATTTTGTTTCATTTTGAACATAAATGGTCATTAAGTGGTCGTAAATCTAGAATTAAGGGAAAGATTTGACTGGGAATCTAATGAAGCAGATTATGGAGAACCACTCTTGATTTTTGAAAATTTGTTAAAAAGTTTTTGTTTTTAAGAAAAAATTCAGATAAAAATGTAACGTGTGCATGTAAATTTTATTATATATGTTCATTTCTTTTTTTCTAGTGTCTGTTATTGAATGTTCAATTGCATTAAGGTTAATTTTAAAGGTCAAGTGAGAGTAGATATGTTTGAACGATAAAATTATGTGTTGGATTAGATGGTTAGACCAGAACGAGAGATTGATGTTTAAATAAGAATAAGTGGATTTGAATGGTAAAATCGTGAACCATGCTCGATTCAGTTTCAAGTTTGAATGAAAATTGACTTAAATAGTAAAATTCGATACCGGGATAGGTTAAATTGCATTACATTTTGAAGTTCGAATAAGAATAGATGTGTTTTAACGATAAAGTTATACATTAAATTAGATTGCGTTGAGATAAAATAAAGTTAACGTTAGGTTAGCTATAAAGTTTAAATAAAAATTCCCCCAAACGATAATTATTATGAAGACCTTAACTAATAATAATTTTGCAGTAATTTGATTTTAATACAAAAATAAATAGTTTTCTTGGGTTAGTGAAATATCGTCTTAGTTGGATCAGTTGGGTTTTGTCATTTTTTAAGGAAGAATTGAATTACAAACCCAACAAATGTATATAAAATCTTCTAACACAATACATTAATTGTCTTTTTAATATATAAAGAGAATTACTCTTCATTAAAATCTTCATTTATGTCTAAACATGCCATGCTATTTTAAAACATGGATCGTCCATTCTGTTGAAATGTTTTCAACAGAAAACTTCGCAGATCTAAGCTGACATTTGCATTTAACCTCAATGCGTACGTTCTTTTCTAACTCGACAATAACATGATCGTAATATAATGCAATAAAAGTGTTATGGCAGTATAATAATAATTATCAAAGATGACCATAAGCGAATCTATCTAATTTAAATTCAAGTGAGCCTAAAAGTTTACTTGCTAATTTCTCTTTTATGAAACCATGGACTAAAATTAAAACCTATTTGCAAGATATTATACTTGAATATGACCTCTAAGTATAAATCATTTTGATAATTCTGATCATCTGATATGATGATCTCATAATTATGATCTGTCTGATTTTGAGCAGCTAACAGAAGTATAAATAATCGATATTAACTTAAATATTTCAGATCCTTTCGACCAGTTTGAGTAAGACTGTGTAATAAACTGAGAGTTTATTTAATATAAACAAACTATACAAGTTCACATAAAACTAAAATATATATTTTAGTTTACATTATCGAATCTACGCTGAATACCACACTAAAGCAATTTTCAATTGCTTCCAGTAGTGTTTTAATTTTTAATCAATTTTTCCAAATATTTTCACAATATCTTGTTACATTTATTTTCCATAAATCCATGTAATTACTGCGAGAATTTTCGATTAGGAAAGAGAATCAATTTTTAACAATATACATGTTAAATCAGTATAGATACTTAAGTGTCGCCCATATATGGGTGATGTGGCAGTCAACGTGTTAAGAATGCAAATTACAATAAAAAACTGAAGCTTAAATTAAATAGTATTGCAAGGGAGATTTAGGTGCGCCATATTGAATTTGCAGGATTATGTTAGCAAATTGATTGCTAATGAAAATATATTGAAAGCTAATTTGAATATTTAGTTAATATAAAAGAGGGTAAAGATGTTCTTAAGTGGTATTATTAACGTAAGATTATTAATGGTATAATATGTTGGATTAATCACAGTCTTATTAATGTAAGATAACAAAAATGTATGGCGAAGTTTGAAAATTATAGAATAGTATCTTTAATAAGTATTTCAACGTGTCTTTCTACATACTTCTCCACTGTGAAAGTTAATGCATTTTCACATTTTGATATCGCCATGTACAAATTTTAATGAAATTTGTATAATTATTAAAGTATTAGTTCTATCAAATTTTACGAACATAGCACGGTTTGTTTGTAAAGAAATTTCAAAGCAGAGATAATTTTTATTATTTGCAAATATAGACTGGTTTTTGCATCATCCATAAAAGACAGTACTTCAATTTTTACGTTTTTTTATTTTGATTAATTTAGGAATATTGTATGAGATCTATGTAAATAATGTTGCAATACTATTTGTTGTAATACAATTCTTAGGAGCATGTCATTTTGTGGAGCTAAGAATTATTGGATGCAATAATTCTGCTACTATTTTAATTAAGGTAACTTATTTCGTGTGTTGTACTGTATATACTTTTTATTAAGTTTGTAAATATTATTTGCAACGAATTGTACCTTACTTGGTAAATGAGAGTAAAATTGCAGTATAACGTGCAAATAATATATTATGTATGGTGTAGTTACTTTCTGGACTTATTATAAAACAATGCAAAAAATTTAGAGATCAAAATTCAGAAAATTAATTAATAATTCGAAAGAAAATATATTTCCAATTCCGTTCTGGTATTTTTGCCCTGACAGTCAGTGTTTATCTGTATAAATTGAATGCAACAAAATTATACATGTTCAAAAAAAAAAATACTATAACCTTCAAACTAGTAAATACTTGATGAAAACAGTCTAGTAAGTTGGTAGCTAGAAAGAATGTGAATCCCATTGTTTCACGTGCCAATTTAGCACATGAAACTTGACAAATGAATTTCAATTTCTACTAAACACAAATTGAAAAATTAATACAAAATAGTAGACCGAAAAAATCAATTGATGGTTCGTTTGTTGTGAACAATTTTTTAATTCTGTTAAGGGTAGGTTTTAACTTCTTCCCTTGGGGAACTATACCGTGTGAAAACAATATATTATTTCGTCTTTTGCTGATTATTGAAGATATATGCTCTATGTTACATGTGTGTAGCGTAGAAAGATAATTCTTTCTGCACAGTAGAAAGCGTGAAAGTTACTCGTTCCAAACAAAAAAATTATAGCTTTGAAATTATCAACTAATCTCTTCCGATCTAGGGACTATAATTTCTTAAGACTCATTGACTCAATAATTTTCATTATTTCGCAAGTATTTGTATAATGTTTTTAGATATCTAAATGTTTGACAATTTTTAACGCAACCTGAATATTAGAGCACGTTAGAATATTTACATTATTGCGTTTTTTGGTATTACAGAACAAATTTAACTGAATGACAGAGTCGAATCAGATTATGGTACCAAACCTACTTTTGGTTACTGTACACGATACAGTAACTTTTATATTGAAGAGAAACTATAAAACATGAATGAATATATCCTTAATCCTTGATTTCGATAGAAAATTAACTTGCACGTTAAGAAAGACATTTCAACAATTTTTACATGCAAAGTCATTTGTATGAAGCTATTTATTTAAGAACAGGTATTAGATAATATAAGATAGTACTATGCATATAGAGTTAAACTAGAATTAAGCAATTTAAA